CCACATTTGTGACAAGTCTCTCTTCCCTCTCTATCTTTCCTTCTTTGTTTTGTTGCTTTGAAGTAATCAATGACCCTCTGTCCTAGGGCCCTTTCTGTTGTTCAATATAGGTCACTCAGTAAGAGAGAGAAGAGCACTCACTTCTACTTATGCTCCACCCTGTGACAGGCCTGTCTGCTGCAGATTTTCTCTCCCTGTTAATCTGGTGAAATTGGTTTTCAGACCCTGTTGCAAGCACTCTGCAAACAGCGGGTAGGAGAATGGGCCAATCTGCTGTCTGTGGTCTGCAACCCACATGCCTTCCCATCGTGAAGCTCAGGTGTCTTTTGTGTTTCTCCCTCCTTATTCGAGTTTGCACTCAGCATCATCATGTGGGCGCACAGGGCTATGAGGTGTTTCTTCCTGATCTGGTAGCAAGTTTGGTCATGAGCTGTTGGCAGCAGGCACCAGCTGAGTTCATTCTGCAGATGAGCCTTCCCAGCCCCGAAGCCAACAGCCTTAGCAGCTGTCCAAGTGTGAGTTTATTCCTTGTTCCACTTGGACTCTGGTCTCCTGCTCTGTGTCCTGACCCAAGACTTCTCTTGCATTAAGACCAACGACTCAAGTGTGACTGGGAGGGGTGTAAGGACCCACAGCATCTCAAGATCACTCACCCCCTCTCATTTACAGGACAGGGCTTCAGTTCTTGTGCAAACCGGGTGCACAGCGGTGGATGGGGTGCCCAGATTCCAACATTTATTGTCATCTTCTGGTTTCAGTGTGTTAAAGGAGACCTTAGCAGGGTGCTTCACCCATCCAATACTGTTCAGAGTGTCTCTGCCTATTGGTGGCTGGGTCCCTACTCTCTGCCTTGCTTGGTGTGAGAAACGTTGGTCTGCTGCTCCATGGTGGCCCTCTTCTAATCTTCTCAATGTACTATTAAATGACAATGGCAAGCATTAAACTTGCTTAAAAACAAAGGAAAAAATTAAATGAAAATGCACTATATTTTCTTATTTAATTGGCATTTCAAATTAAATGGAAAGTTTTAGTCTTAAGAATTGTGCATTGAAGAGGTAGCCACCTCACCCTCCTCAGTAAAATATAAATAAGAATGTCGTTTTACAATTTGGTAACAAAGTTAAAAAGATATTTACAACTGTTGACTTCTTCCAGGAATCTATCCTAATCAGATGCAAAAATTTATAGACAAGATATAGACTCAGTATTATTGTTGATAATGATGAACATTTAAAAACAATGTAGCAATGAGTCTTTCATCCCATCTAATTTTTTGTTGATTATTATGCCAACATTTGGAGATTTTCCTCTTTTCTTCTTGAAGTTAATTTCTGCTTTACATTTTATTGTGGTCAGAGAACATACTTTTAATAAAGGTTAATGCTTTATTTGACTAAGATACAGTATAAGACCCAATATATTATCAATTTACTTTGGTAAATTCTTCTTGGGCACTTGAAAAAATATGTATTCTTCAGTGATCTGTTACACTGTTCTCTATACATAAATTAAGTCAAGTGGTTATTTTTCTTTAAACTTCTATATTCTTTCTTTTTCTGCTTATTCTATCAGTACTTAGTAAGTTAAAAGTACTTTATATTTTTATGAATTCTAAACTTTTTAAATGTATTTAGTCTGTTTACATTTAATGTATTTACCAACAAATTTAGATATATCTTCTATCTTGATATTTTTATGTTTGCTTAATCTGTTTCCTTCCCCTTCTTACCTCCTTTTGAAATAATATTTTTCTTATTAACTTTTTCATTGATTCGTTCTTCAGCTACACATCAATTTATTTTTCTTTTATTTAAAAAAAATTTTTTTTTGAGCTGTAGTGTCACTCTGTCACCCAGACTGGAGTGCAGTGACTGCTCTTGGCCACTGCAGCCTCTACCTGCTGGACTCCGGCGATCCTTCCATCTCAGCCTTCCAAGTAGCTGGAACTATAAGCACGTACTACCACATCTGGCTAATTTTTGATTTATTGTAGAGATGAGGTCTCACCAAGTTGCCCAGGTGGGTCTCGAACCTGTGGGCTCAAGCAATCCACTCACCTCAGCCTCCCAAAGTGCTGGGATTACAGACTGAGCCACCGAGCCCGGCCCTAAATTTTTTTATCTGAATATTTGTATTAGCTTAAAGAATCTATTACGGTGTATCTTAAAATATAACTTTTTTCACTTCTTTGCAATGCAAAGCTTTATAGCACTTTAATTATATTTATGTATCTTTAATATTTCATGTTTTATCATCTCTTGTAATTATACATGTGTTAAATCTTTGAAACATTATTAGCTTTAAAGAAATTAGAGACAGAATCTCAGGCTGTCTTCTAGGCTGGAATGCAGTGGCGTGATCATAACTCACTTGAACTCCTGGACTCTGTCAAGTGATCCTCCCATCTTAACCTCCTGAGTAGAAAATTATTTTAAAGATTAATACTCATTCACATTTATCTTTTCTGGTCTCCTTTGTTTCTTCCTACTTTTTGTTTCTTTGCTCCTACATGATATTGTTTCTCTTTTAAGAACTCCCTTTAGTGTTTCTTCTGGTACCATTCTACTAAAAACAAAATTCCCAGTTTTTGTTTGTTTAAAAACATGGTTTGTCTTTTAGTTTTGAATAATGTTTTTACTCACTATAGAATGATGGTTTAACAAATTATTTTCTTTTAATATCTTAAAGCTATTATTTTATTCTAAGTTCCATGGTTATTGTTGGAATGTCATCCTATTTCTTTCTGGCTGCTTTTTAAATCTCTCACCCCCATTTTTGTACTTTTTTTTCTTCTTAGCAATTTTACCAGGAAATTTCCAAGTGTATCGTCCTAGTATTTAACTGTTCGTGGTTCTGGAGTCTTTTTTTCCATAGCTTCATTGTTTTCTATTGCTTTTGAAAAATACTTAGTTAAAAATCTCTTCAGTTATTACCTCCTCTCGATCCCTTTTACTATTCTATAGGATTCCACATATATATATATTTCAGATTATCATCTTTTACTTCCTTTTATATATTTTTACCCTTTAAAATAATCTATGTTTTAATCATCACATTTTAGAATAAGGCACTAAAATTCTGACTCGCATGGCTAGGATTTGTCAACAAAAGGGTCAGATCCTAGGCTGATTTAGTAGGGATCCAGTCATTTTATTGAGGTCTTTTCAGAAGTCAGTATCTTTCTCTTGAATTGATCAGTTTCCTTGATAATAACTCAACAGTTTCTGTGTTGGTAAATAATTTTGGGTATCAGAGTTCTGGAATCAGAGCAGGTGAAGAATTTAGTGACCTTATCATTTAGTATGTACACTTTCATTAAACTCTCCTGTTTTCAGTAGTGTTTGATTGAAATATAATTATATAGGCATGAATATCTAAGCAAAGAGCTTATTTGAGAACTAAGAATTGTAAATTGGGACACATAAACTGTGGTCGCCCCTGGTTGTACCTAAGAAATAAAGGGAAAGGCTGGGGTTTTATTGAGAAAACAGGAAAGTTATGTTAGTTGTTTTGAAAGAAACTCATTGGTGTCATCAGTGTCTTGCAGGAGCTGGTGAGTTCTAATTGATAAGTGGCAGCAGTTACTAGGTAAGACCTAATATTAAAGGTCTTTGCGGTTTTGCTGTTGAACTACAAAAATAGTTTTTAGAACAGGCATGTGTGACCTGGATGCCCTTCCCCATGGTCTCTGACTCCATTTTAGTCAGCTGTGACATAAATAACTCAATGTGTATAATCAATTGTCACAGTAAGTTCTTCAATGCAAACTGGTGTCTGTCTGGCTGGATTTCTCCAGAGAGTAACTTTCCAGTATTCAGCCAATGCATAGCAAGGATAGACTCACAAATGCATTGCCTATATTATGAGAGTTAATTGTACAACTACCTCTTAAACAAATTTCCTACTAAGCTTTCTGCCTTCCTCATTCTTTATGATGCTTGCTTGACACTTTCAGAAGCATTTGTTGTACCCATCTACAAGCTTACTTTTTAGCCTTATCCATTCTGCTGAGCTATATGCCTTTTATCTTTCACATTTCAGTTTTCAAAATTTCCTCTCACTCACTTCTCTTTGTTCTTGAGAGTTCATAGTTTAAAATATTTCCTTTAAAGCCATTTTAATAGTGCTTAGAGAAGGAATTGAGATAATGTGACCAATTGATCGCCAGAGACACTGATTTCTCTATGTTATTGTTGTTATTTATTATTATTTCTCATTATTTTGTATTACTTTTGGTGATGATGATGATGGAAGTGTCTCAGAGTAAATCATGGACATACTGTGACTGCACTGATAATATATTCTCATTCTAATTTTAAGCCAGTATATAATTAATGTTAATTAACAGAGTGCTTATTGAATATAGAACAAAATATAATTCTGTTTTTGTTATAATTCTAAAATATGAATTAAAAATAAAAATGTGAATATTGCACATTCTAAAATAAGGGTTACATACAGTCAAAATATTTTTTTATTATATTTGCAAGTCAAATATTAGAATGATTTGATGGCCTCAATTTGTTGTTTATTCTATGTTAGGCACAGCATACTGTACACATATACATACTGTACACAGCAGTATGTGACATAGGTACTATCATCATTTTTTACAAATGAATAAACTGAGAAACAGAGTAGAAGTCAACATCTCATTCAAAATTATATAGCTAATAAAGATAGACCTGGGAGTACAAAGTCAAACATGTTTTATAATATTTTTTAAGTAATATTTTTTTCCTGAAAAATGCTGTCTTCTTTACCTGGCATCTACCCCAAAAAGCCTTCAGTAATCTGGAATTTAGAATGAGTTGTGCCCAGATGTGGGAAAACACAAGTTATTATTCTTTGCTGTTGTTACTTTCATTAGCATTTGGGGAAAGTTCTGCAGCAAATTTATATTATTATTATTATTATTATTACATGAATACATTATTGCATGAATGCAGCTTGCTTCAGGAACTAGAACTAGTTAAAGGTAAAACCCTTTATTCTAACAGAGAGAAGGAGAGAAAGATCATAGAGTGCGCTTGGCAGTTGGAAATGGCATACGAAGTGATGTATGGAGACAATTTCTAGATAGATTTGGAAATATTAAGATGTGTGAACTTTATGGAGCTACTGAAGCAAATATTTCTTTCATGAACCACACTGGAAAAATTGGAGCAGTTGGAAGAACAAATTTCTTTTACAAAGTAAGTACAGTATTTTCTTTATAAAAGAAATTCAATGAAGTCTGCTAACTCTCTTCTGGACTTTGTGCTTGTTGAGAACTTCTAGAAGTAAAATAATGGCTCTCAGTGAGCAATGGTACTATAGATTATGCAAATCTCAATCATCTCCCATGTCTTCCCTCTATAATATGAAGATAATTACGCCCAATTTTTTGTCCAGTTTTCAAATTTACTGACATAATGTATAAATAGCAAGCATAGGTCCTGATATGTATTACTATGACTCTTTCAATTGTCCATGAATCTATCCATTCCAGTGTTTTTATTTATCTTTCATTGTTTATACCGCTCAAAACTTCTGTAAGGTTTTGAATACATGTGTTTAAAAAATAAAAAACAAAAATCTGTATCAAGATATCACTGAAATCTTAAAAGTAGCCAAAGAAACCAACTTTCTAAGAGTAAAAGAGTGATAACTGATTTCTCAATAGCAAGCACAGAAGACAAAAGGCAGTAGACAGATATATTCCACTTGCTTGGTGAAAATAACTGTCAAAGTAGAATTTATGCTCAAAAATATTTTTAAGAATAAAGGTGAATAAAGAATAAAAAATAAATTTATAAAGCAAAATTCACATGAACTCAAAAGGAAATGTCTTCAATAATGTAGACTATTTGAATAATGAATTAAACAAACTGCTATACAATATATAAAGACTCCTACATCAAACAACTGCAGAATACCCATTCTTTTCAAGCATTTATGAAAACTTTACAAAAATTACTGCATTTAGAGAATTCCAATAAATTGCGAAGGATTAAATACATAGAGATTATGATCTCAGACAACAGTTTAATTGAGATGCAAATACATATTTAAAAAGCAACCAGATAATCACCCATTTATTTGGAAAGAAAACATTTCTAAATTTCCATGGGTCAAAAAATTATAACAGAAATTAAAAGAATTATGAACTGAATTATAATTAAAATGTTACATTTAAAAACTTGTAGACTCAGTTAAGAAAACCTGGAAATCAGATAGAGGTAAAGATTCATCTATAGATTAATTTTTAATAAAACAACTAAAATGAACTCAAAATAAAAGGAAGGAAATAGTAAAGAGCAGAAATTAATGAAATAGAAGAAAACATTTAGTGAGGAATATAAAAATCTCATACATATAATTTTTTAAAAAGTAAAGAATAGATTCTGATTGATAGAGAGAAGATACAAATACGAGGGAACAATACAATTCTGATTGATAGAGGGAAGATACAAATACGAGGGAACAGTATGTACAATAGGAATTTGGTCCTCTGGATCAAACAGTCAGCCAAGATTTTATCTGGAAGTTTTGAGAAGATGGCATCATGATTTGCAGAAGAAATGTATGAGTTGTGGCAAACAGGTGACTGGTTCTTCCACCATGACAATGAACCTACCCACACCTCGCTGAATATTCGGCAGTTTTTGACCAAAAAAAACCTTACCCCCATGCTCCACCTTCCCTAGTCACCTGATCCTGCCTCCAAAGACTTTTTTGTTTTCCTGGATGAAGTCTTCAGAGTAAAACGTTTTGCCAATGTGGAAGAGGTGAAACAAAAAACGGCAGAAGCACTAAAAGGCATCAAAATTGATGTGTTCAAAAACTGTTTTGAGCAGTGGAAAAAGTATCTTGATAGAGGAGTTGCATCAAAAAAGAGTACTTTGAAGTTGACCAACGTTTAAACGTAATAATAAATACACAATTTTTAATAAATAAATTCCATTTGGGGAATCCTCTTTGTAATGTCAAGAATGGAAAAGGGGATATGGCTACCAATACTTTATACATTAAGATAACACAACATCATATGTTAATTGAGTTCATGTCAATAAATCTGACATGAACTGGAAAAATTTCTAGAAAAGTAAAACTTACCAGTATTGGCTTAAGAATTATCACACCAAAAACAAATTTATGCCCCAAAATCTTCCCTTAGTTTCAGAGAGTTTCCTGGTTCAAGGTACTAAATATTCAAAGAGCAAATAATTCCAATCTTATATACTCTACCAGAGAATAGAAAAGGAGAAAAAAGTCCCAACTCACTTTTTGACTCCCAAGCCTGACACGGACAGTGCAAGAACAACAGTTCTTCATACAGACTTGGATGAAGAAAGTCTTTGGTCAATTATCTCTCTCCTTAAGTGTGTTTCCTCAGAGGCCTCTCCTGTGTCCTGAGGGTGGCACTATCCTTATGACACTACTGTTGTGTTTTCCAGAGACCCCACCAGTTTTAGAACTGTTTCTGGAAAGAGCTTTAAGAATCCTGTAGTGCAAACTTTGGTGCATTTGTATTACTTGCATCTCTAGCTTCTTTAGTTTTATAGATTAAGATTTCTGTATAATAACCTGCCCTAGATCAAAGAACACCTAGAAGCAACAAAAATATATTTTTGGCTTTCTAGTCTGACTTCTCTTCAGTATCTGGAAGTAATTGACAAATGTGTTTTTCATGTCACAGCAGCTCACCCTTTTAGTCAAGCTGCCTTTTCAAAGCTGGTGTCAATCACACTAATGTTCTAAACCTAAAGAAAGCGCAAACTATTTTTATAATGCATTCTTTTAGGATTTGGAAGGTCTAGTTGACATCTCAGAAATGAACTTGACACTGAACAAAAGTATTTTGTTGAAAGTAAGTGCTGATATTACTGAGCTTTGCATTCCTTGCAGTTAATTTTCTCAATTCATTGCACTGGTTCCATTATAAATTTGGTATTCATATTAAGGCCCCTTTGTGAAGCTGTCATTATAAAGTCAAGAGTATAATGAAAATGATTTGTATTTTATATTACTGACTTGGCTTCATTAAAGTTTTTGAATGTTTTAAAATTCTCTCAGACTATAATAATGTCAATACTATAAAAAGTCAGGATTGTCTTCAATTTATTTGGAAAAATTCTGATTGTTAAGTCATTTTAGTTTTCTTTTTTCAGTTTAGAAATGACAGAAATCATATCAATGCCATGTGGATTATCGTGTCTTTTATCATTTTATTCATATGTTGCTTTGTTAGATAGCAGATATTCAGAAAAATTTGGTGCAGTAATTATTTCATAATTAAGTGGGAAGATTTGGTAAGTGTATCTCTCAAAAATGCAAGCCCAGTGGAGGCTCATGCTTACTATCTCAGAGTGAACCAACCTCCAAGCAGAGATAGAGTGCTACAAGTGAAGGAGAAAGATAAGGCAACTACACAGAGTTTCTGTAACCCAAATGTTCTTCTTATGTGCTACATTTACTATTTGAGTACATAAGACTGAAGAGATAGAATCCCATATATTAATTCAAGGCAAACAGTATAAAAAAATTTGGTGACAATGTATTTGAGAAACAAACCCAAGTAAAATTGTTTACTGTCTTCTTTTTTTCTATAGTATTTTCACCTGGAATAAATAATTAAGAAGGGACAAATATGAAATACACAGATGAAATAAATCTTGAACAAAAGGAGAGAATTAATCTAAATAAAAGGTAGCTAAGAAGAATATAAATTTACATTGGTATAGCAAGTTCACCAAAATGACTGAACAATGTTTACAAAAAAAATTTCCGTAAGCTCAAAAAATTTCAATAATATTCTCTTTAAAAATAAGAGCTAATGAGAAGGAAAGATCAAGGAAAACATAACTCAATGAAATAAATTGAAAAGTAACCATGCTCAGCACAAAGAAAAAATAGAAGAAAAAGTGAGAATATTATAGAAGTGAGCACCACATTAAAGAACTTAAAAATCAACAGCACTGTGAACATTGTTAGGGAGCAAGATGGGTGGAATTAAGGAGTCCCAAAAACACAATAAAAATAACAAGCAAATGATAGTTTAAAAATTAAGAAAAAGTATTTTGAAAGCATAGACAGTTATCTGACTTGTGCTTACTTGTTGTTCTTGCAGAAAAGAACAGATCAAAGAGAAAAATAATTATTTCAACGCTAATAGAAGGAAACATCCTAGAAGTAAGGTCTTGAATCTTCAGCAAAAGAGCACACTATGTTTCTGGGGAAAAAATATGTTACAGAGTAATCATTAGGAAGATATGTCTTAGTGAAATTTCTGAACAAAAATTAAAGAACCATAAAGAGATGAATGCTGAGGCGGAAAAAGCAAAGGATGTACAAAATATAACACAGGTGAAGATCAGAAACATCTCAAGCCGGGCTCGGTGGCTCAGCCTGTAATCCCGCGCCTTTGGGAGGCTGAGGTGAGTGGATTGCCTGAGCCCGCGGGTTCGAGACCCGCCTGGGCAGCGAGACCTCATCTCTACAATAAATCAAAAAAAAAATCAGCCGGGCGTGGTAGCGCATGCCTGTAATTCCGGCTACCTGGAAGGCTGAGGCGGAAGGATCGCCAGAGTCCAGCATGTCGAGGCTGCGGTGGCCGGAAGCGGCCACTGCACTCCAGTCTGGGTGACAGAGTGAGACTTCCACTCA